GGTTTTACTTATCTTCGTTACTGCTGCAGCAAGGTCTCTCTCTTGCTGCGGTTGCTGCCGTTGCTGCTGCCGGTCCATGGCGCCGCCCCAGCGAAAAAACCCAACACACAGGGAAGGATTAAAAAGAAAGAGAGAAAACGAGAGAAAAGGGTGGGGGGAGCCATGTTGCTGGAGTGTACGTACACCGGAACGAATGACAGAGAAGGTATATTGGTGACGCTGCTGCTGCTGCTGCTGCTGCTGCTGCTGGTGCCTCTATTGCAGTAAAAAATAGAAAAAAAGAGCCTATTGCGAATAAGAAACGTTTAATAATATAAAAACGCAAAAAATCTATGATTTTTTTTGTTATTTATATATAGAGAGGAACAGTGATGAGGGGTGACGGGTGACACCCCTGAGGTGTATGTACACCTCAATTGCGAGAGAGAAACAGACAAATTAATGGACGATATATTGGGTTTTCAGCTGTAAAAACATTAAAATAAGAACAAATAAATAAACAAAGAAAGAAACAAACGAAGAAACAAACGAACAAACATACGAATACAAATATACTGCCTATGCACAAACACCACCAATCACCCGGCGCGCAGGTGACCTCCTGGTGCTGCTGACGTGAGGGTCACCAGCAGCAGCATATACTGCATGAAATCCTTTGAAATAACTATTAAAATATATTTAAATTAATTATTTTTATTTTATTTATTTATTTTTCCTGAATTTATAACTTATTTCAGTCTCTTTTTGCTGCATTTCTACCCTCCGCTTTACTGCGTTTCTGCGGTGTATGTACACCTGAATGATGCCTGGTGACCTATGGTCACCTGCCACTGTACGGCGCCTTTCTATTCATTTTTTTGGATTATTTCTTTTTATTTTTTATTTATTTTATTATTTTTTATTGTTCTTTTTGTATTTAGAAGAAAATTAAGGGTCTAGGGGGCTGCATATACACCGGGGGGGGCCCCACCAACCGATAGCCAGTGGCTCTCATCTTATCTTCATTGATTTCTTCTCTGTTGCGTGAATTTATATTTATATTTTATATTTTATATTTTATATTTTATATTTTATATTTTATATTTTATATTTTATATTTTATATTTTTATATATTTTAATTTCTTTTATATT